TGACATTCTGAAGAGACAACAAAGCTGAAAAAGGAAGAGGAACTGCAACACTATACTGCAATTGAGCATTTAAGCTCAGGAACTTAACCCAGCTAAATCTTGGATTTTGTAAAGGATAGACTTACACAAAAAAAAACTTTCAAAGAGCCTAATATTAGAAATATGCTACCAACCACCAAGTTAGGATGTCAATTGAGATACAATGAAAACAGGGAATAGACTGGTCAAGGAAGAAGTAGTTATGATGGGAGACTTTAATTTTTCAAACAAAGACTGGGAAAAAAATAACAGAGATATCAGAAAAGAAAACTCAATTTGATCGAGTGTTTTCAAACAAAACAAGGTGAAGACAGAGGTTTCAGAGGACCATCAGTAAACTGTAAAAGTAATATGCTGTTAGGTAAAGTTCCTCTCATTCAAAAAAAGAGCTGAACTGTACCAGGAGTTGTGGTGCTTCACTTCAGAGGCCTCTGGAATTCAGTCTAGAAATCTCCATTTCTATTGTAGCGAACCACCTAAATTCCTCGTATTTTATCATGTCTCTGATTTGGCCAGCCCATCACCTGTAGTTCCATACAGAAGATGACCAAAATATATTCTCCTTGTATGCTGAAATAAACTTGGAAGGCCATTGCTTGAGAGAATACTACATTCTGTTTAGTTTAAAACTTCCAGTACTAGACTAACCTTTTTCTTTATAGATAATCAGAAGATATTGTGCTTATAGCACAGGACGAATTCACCCCTAGAGTAAGCAAATCAATGACTAAAAAGCAGTGTACCAACTATCTCATAAATAAATAAAAAAATGTGGAAAAACAAGCACTCTAAGAAATGATTTAAAAAACAATCCAGTTACAGAAAACTAGGATAATGGTTTCTAAGCTCAAGTAAAGTAAATTAGAGTGAAATCAGTCTGGCTAAAGACAGTTCTGTATTTAATAATAACATAGAAAACGCAGAAGGGTTACAGGTACCAGAAACATGACTAAACTGCATGACTTGACAGCTCTCCACCAATTGTACTACAGAAAACAAGAAATGTTATTCATGGGCCGTTAGCAAAACTTTTCTGTCACTCAAAATGGGGGCTCATATTAACTGAAGGGAAAATGTCCTAATTTAGCACCCATCTATGATAAAATTGAATGTATAGACCAATACGTCATCTTCTATTATATGTAAGGTCATGGAAAAGACAATTAGAACTACAGGATCATCAGCTCATCCAAAGGATACTAAGGGATAATCAGCACTAATTTACAGGTCTTGCTTATCTAATGTTTTAGAGATCAAAGAACCACAACAATAATGGATATAAACAAAGTCTATGATATGGTATATAACCATTTTCAGAAGGCTTTTGATGAAGCTCCTAGTAAATTGTATCAAATTGCAGGCAGTATGCATTTAGGGAAATGGATGTATTTGAACTACAAACTGATTAATGGATAGAAAATAATACTCCGATTAGAGTGATGTAATCAGAGTACCACCAAAATCTGTATTAGTTTTATAAACTATAAGACGGGAATCACCAATCTTGTAGAAACAACAGATATAGCCATAAAAAGGACACACTTGGGACTAGGTATGGAAAGACAGGCATTACGTCTATTGAAACAAGGGGTTCCACACAAGTGTGGCTCATGCATGCATTAAGTAAACAATGTCCCAGCATGCTCAGAGTCATGTATAAAAATGCTGGAAGGCGTGGCTGACTATCATTAAGGCCAGCATGGCTGTAAGAGAAGACCTCAATGACTGAATGAAGGGTTACTGCTGTGGTGCACTTGGCTCAGTGATCAAGACTTCTTGATGTTTCAAGCTCAGGCAATGGACTACTGAGCAGAGTACAAATGAGATCTGGTCAATGAATCGCCCTTCACCATGTACTTGTCAAATGGGCATGTGGTGCCAACCTGAAGATCTCTACAGCCCGTAGTGCTTAGAGAGCAACCCAGAGGAAAGGCTCAGGTGGTTCCGTATTGCTGTGGGACACATTGCTGGCAGGGTTTGGGTGCACTCTTTTCCTTAAAGGTTAAGGTAAATGGTACTCAGTATTACGTTATCAGCATTATTATTAGTACTTAATGTTACTGAGTGATCATCTTCTTCCCTTGTTGCAGCATTTCTTTCCTCTTGGGAGGGTGTCTTCCAAGAGAATAAGGCTCCCTCCCACAGAGCAAAGAGTGGCTGCCCCGTGGTCAGATGTATATGACACTGAGGTTATCCATATGTCATGGCCTTCTCAGTCACCAACTTGTACATTTATCAGGTATTTTGGAACGAGGCCTAAGCAGTGCACACCTCCACTGACCGGGCGTGAGCTGATAAGACTTTCTCATGGAAGAATGGTACCGCTTCCATCCCGCAGAGCTCCAGACACTGGTGGACTCTGCCACGGCACACACAAGCTGAACTGGCCCAACACCCTATTAAGAGTCTTCACGTTGATGTTTCTATTTCATTGTCCACTATGAGTACAAAATGAGTAAACAGGTCTTTATGTTCTTTACACTGTCTAGGCAATGTGGAGGGAGCAAGAAAAGGATGAACAATATTGAGATACACAGCTGAAAGTGTTGAATGTACTTTAAGGGATCTCATGCTAGATTTATACAAATGCTTAAGCAAGGCCACATTTAGAATACTGTGTACAACTTACATGTCAAAAAATGTTGGGTTTTGTTTTTTTTGGGGGGGGGGTGTTGCTATACTGTAATCAATCCAAAGAAGATTGACCATGTACATTCCTGGGATTAAAGGAACGTTCTTTACCACCAGGCTAAAAGAATAATCTTTTATCTCCAATACAGAAGACTGAAGACATATATTTAGAGGTCGCAGAGAGACACAAACCAGAAGACACTCTTGGAAGCTAAGGGGAACTTCATTTAAAATGAGAACAGGAAATACTTAAAGTTGATTTATGAGGTAAAATAAGGGAGAATTGGTGTTCAATCACAATACCTACTCCTGATTGCATGCCCTCCACACCACAGCCTAGGTCAAACTTTTGTTTATGAATTTAACTAAAAGGTAAATGTCAGAACAGTCCATTTCGTGTAAATTCCCGCACATGAGATTACGGAAATCATTCATTGGATGACTGTTACCTATAACAGATGATATTTTACCAGCAAAAAGCTGAACTACAACCGCTCCTTACCTTTGAAAAAAGGAAACCTTGCACTGATCCCTCTGACACAGTACTTACATATATAAACATACACAATCGTTACTGATTCACTCTAATAATACTAAAACTATACCGCTTTTTGATAATGCTGAATGCTTTCTATCCCTTTGTTCTCTACACTTTTGCAATAAGCAAATATTTAATAAAAAGGGATGGAAAGTTAATGATAACATTCATTTTCTCTCTTTACCCAGTGCCTACTTCAAGCCAGAAATGCCTGCCACCGAACACAAAATCGCTTCCTGACAGCCCAATCAATAGCATTTACATACATCAAAATAAGCGGCAGGAAAATTAATAAAGAAATTAAGCTTCTGCAATACAGTTGCGCCAATTAGTTGAATGTCAGGGAATTCTAATTAGAGCGCCTTGAGATTGCGGTTTTTAGCATTTAAGCCTATTGAGAGTGCCCAAAGTCTCCTTTTCAGAAGTGAGCCGGTTTTGGGAAATTAAAAGACTTTAGGCAGCTGTAATTACATTATCAGAGCAGGGCGGGGATTAGACAATCTCTGAAGTCAAGGCGGCATTCTTTTGTCATGTGGTGGAAATCCCCCGCTTTCCAGGGTGTCGGATTTTGGTAGCGTTCCATATCTCACACTGACAAAAGGAGCTGCATTTGGAATATGTAAAAAACACAACACAATAGGAAAACGCTCCTGAAATAATGAATACATCAATAGATGGCTAAAACAAAGGGGCAGGTGAGAGATTAAGCCAGGAAAAAAAAAAATCGGGGTTTTGCTAACACGTCCATTGGCATCACTTTCTGATCAGTTCTCAAGTGGAGAAATAAAACGATATGGAAGGAGGCCCGCACTGAAGCAGGCCTGGTGTCTGATTACAGCTCTATTATCTCAAGGTGAGACGCATTCAGATCCTCCCCTCCTGCCCCTTGGGGTGTGAAATTAGTACAGATTGTTCCTGCATTGTTTTCCGTATTAAAATAAACAGTGCTTTTCAATCCGTCTTTTTTTCTCTTTAAGAGACAAACAGCTTCTCCCACGAGGAGGAGGCTTTACTCAGTGATGGGATTACCCGATTCGAGGGTGCCTGAAAAGGCTGTCCATTTAGCTACTGAGCAAACTGCTAGCCATTTTAAGACGCATATTATAGCCAGTTGTGAGACAGTGAAAACGGGCCCCTTTTGTCTTTATATATTTTAATCCTGCAGAATTAAACACCGTCAATCATACTTAAATTAATTAGGAACAGCAGGAAAAAACAGTCAGACAGTGATCCAAATGGCTTTTTATCTAAACTGTGAGGCACAAGGCACTGCATTAAAGTGTTTTTCTCTCCTTTACACGGTCATGGTCAAATAATTACAAAAACACTGTCTACTTCAAATTGTTTTTTTTGTGTAATGGGAAAAAACGGTCCATTTTTCTTCTCTTTGTTTTGTATGTATGTACTTAAAAGTAGAGAAGTCCGCAAATTAAGAAAAGTCAGCTAACATTTTAGGATAAAACATCAGAGAACAAAGAAGGAGTTTAGAAAAAAAATTAAGTTAAAAGACAGATTATTTTCTTTGCTTGGACTCTTATCTAAAAACATAAAAAGACTAGAAATGGGAAGAGGCTCTTTGGCCTGCCTAGCCAGTTTGGTAGTTAGTAATTCACTGATCACAGGATCTCACCCAATCGCTTCACGGAAAACAGGGTATCGGCTTTAACAAAATGGCCCAACTCTCACACTCAAAACTCCGTAACACAGATCTACTTCTCAGACATTAAAAACATCAAATTAATAGACTTGGGATGGAAGCTACAAGTAAAATCTGATGCGTTTTGGAAAATCAAAAAAGAAGGATCGAAACTCATTTCTGTACTACATCAAAACAGAATTAAACAGCAAGTAAGCACTTCAGGTCTATTCTGCTGTCAAGAGTTTTAGCATGTTTAACCTGGTTATCCACTTATGGTTATTTCTGCTTTTGGAAAGCATAGTTTGTGGGTTTTGCACTTACAGTGTCATTTTTTGCAGTTCAAAATGTCACCCCATATAGTACAGTACAATCATATTTTGCACCATAAAATGTAAATTCCATTAAAGTTTAGCCTATGACATTAATTTTATTCTGTTTTAGTCCAGTGTCCAGCTCTGATCAGATCAGGAACCACTATCCAGACAGGGCCAATGTACAGAACATGTCCAAACCTAATCAGCTTCAGCAGGCAGGAGGAAAGCAGAGTGCACCGGGTGCAAACTCGTGCAAACCCTGGGTAGGGCATACAGACGCAAGGAAACCCACCTGTCCTGCCAGCTCCAGACGCTTGTTCCCATAGTAATCCCTGTCATCCACCTTGTTATCCCCCTGAGCCAAAATCACCCTGCGGACCATCACAGCCAGGTAAATACACTTGGCACGGAAGTTGAATTCCTTCACCTGGAAAATACAAACAATACAGAAAAGTAGACATTAACCAGTTTTACTGCACACTTCCTGTATAAGTTTTATTGCTTTCTTTACATAATATTCATGTACAGTGTTTAGTTGTGATCCCAATGCGCTGCAGGTTTTAATTTCCTCTGTAAATCACCAGCAAATTGAACTGAGAGCTGCTCAACAGTCTGACCTCCCTACAATCCTCCCTTTATTCAATGGGTGAAGCTGCTGCTCACTTCTGTACCCGATACACCTCAGCTACAGTATGCAGCGGGGCTGCTGTGTGTCAACCAAGTGGCTTCTGCACTTCAGTGGCAGATGAATCGGTCCCATCTGACACGTTAAGTGCCTCATATTCCTTTGGGGATGAGACGTTTTATATAAATACTTGACGACAGTACACCCACACCTCTTACAAAAGGGCTTATTATGAAAATTCAATACCATGAAGGACGTGAATCGTTACCCACATGTTGAATAGCGAAATCTTTGAAACTCAGAAGAAGCGATACGAAGAGAAATTTTGAAACCCCTGCCAAATGTAGAGTGAAGAGGAAGGTATCTTCCAACTCATTTCGTAGAGAGTGCACGCTTCACGTGCGTGATACAGTTCACCGCATCTTGCTTCGTGTGTTGTTTACTACTCTGTGCGCTCTTACTTCTCGTCTTAGAAAGCCTGTGGTTAAGACTTGACATGGACCCTGGAGGGTCACACTGTGAGCGTGTGCGTAATCACACAACAAGCAAATGAAGGGGTAATTGTACATTACAGTACTGACTTTACTGATGTCTAACTAGGGAAGCAGCATTTTCCATTAACAGAAAACACAAACCACAGTTTCAGTTATCAGTTTGGGGGAAATAAGTCAAAGAAGGGGTGACATTTTTGGGGGCCAGAAGAGACTAATTCTTCCCCATACGAAATAATGATAATAGGTTTTTTCTTTTTAGGAATTTTTGCTACACAAAAGGGTTTCTGGGAATTAATACATGAGATATTGGGGGGGGGTATGATAAAAAGCACAAAGGCTTTACAATGTGGTCTAAAGTCTGCTTGGGAGCTTACGTTAAAATTCCCCAAGATCTGAATCCAAGTGAAAAGAAGTGAAAGAGTTGGTGAAGCCACCTTCATCACCACCCAGCCTGACAGCAACACTGAAACCCGGAGCTGTAACTCACCGGCACGTGGGTCAGGATTGTGGAAGCCAGCAGCTCTCTTGCTTCTTCCATTTTTGTCTTCTTCGGACCCCCCCACATGCGCTGCCTCCGGACCTTATTCCCAATGTACTTCAGGGCCTACGAAACAGGTCACATGATTACCAGACAGCTAAACACAATCAGTGGACACACTGGGGAGCTGTAGGGAGCGCATCACTCTCTTAACGACCAGGAATACTACAGCACATTCTTGAGCAGGGTTATGGACAACGGTCAATGTGAATTGCTGTTTTTCATGTCGATACATAAGGTTCTCAGTATGTAGTTTAATTAAGACAGGAAGAAGAGGAAAATACTGCGGATATATTGTGCAAGATGTTTTTGAAAAAACAAATAACATTAACGGGATACTGCTAATAATAAATTTGATATAGACCTTCCTAAAAAGAATAACTCACAAACTAACTTTTTAGTTCAGCCGGAATTCCTGCAAAACTAGATTTTATTTCATAGAATGACTTTTAATGAAAAACACTATCTTAAAGAAACTCAATTTAACAATTAGGCATACTGAAGGAAAAATTGAGCATCAAAACAACCATAATACCCTATTCATGTGTAATAGTTCTAGAAAAACCATATGCAATGTGGCTACTGATTAAACGTTTTTGGTGTCATTCTTGACATTTGACCGACTGAATGTTGCACAAGTATTATACTGACTATTGACAGAGTTGATTTGGCAGACGACAAGACAATTCAACCTACTGAATCTCAATCCTGGTGAAAACCAAAGACAAAAATACACAGAAAAGTATCGACATGCTCCACAGTGCCTTTGCACCATTGGTATGCTGGAAGCTGGTTTCACCAGCAGTGGAGATGAAGTCATCAATCAAGGTTTTATACAGAATCGGAGTGTGGCACAGGAGTGCATGACCATACATTAATCATGTACCTCAGACCACTCGAAGGAGAGGTCCAAGGGCGATCATCTGGACAAGGATTGTCTAGTTGCTCAGTTATTCCACTTGTAATGATTAAGAGCAATGGCATTGCATCAATCAATTCTGAAATCTCATATACTGCCCTCACCCTAATTATACATTCCTGGACAGTACACATCATAATGCTTGTGCAACAACAGCAGTCTTGTGAGAAGATGATAGCAAGACTTTGGATGTACTGTTCACCAAAGTCTTGACATCCACTAAAAACTAAAAACATGACGTGGCTTTTAGGGCTCAAAGGCCAGAGAACAGTGCACATGCTTATCTAGGCTCACAAGAGGAATGGGACAGAATCCCACAGACCACACACTACTAGCCTGTGACTTTCAAACTATAACCCCCTTTGTGATGATCAACTCTGTCGATGACTAAGATTAACCAACATGATGTACTGGCCTTTGTCATATCTGTTCAATAAAATGTCAGTGCACCTTCTACAAAAAGATGGTCATTTCCCGATACCCTCTTACGTAATATAAAAAAAGTGGATTAAAATAATCTTTACTGGATCAAATATTCAATGCATACCGCAATATGAGAATCTGTCTACCGCAATCTGAGGCGAACTGTCCCACAAACCCTCCTTCAACACAGGAGTTCTTCCAAATGCTTTTCATTAGTTTTCATTTGCACAAAGCTGACAAAACTATCAGATGAAGCTGATAAAACTGCAAACTGACGCTGAAAATGATACAAACATGTATCATATAATATTGCCAAGTCATCTTGAGCACTAAATCAGTCAGGAAGCTGAGCAAGAGCAAATACCCTACAATACAAACATGGGATGTAAGAAAGATGACAGGTTAACAGGGAGACAGAGAGAACAGATGTCATGTAAGCTGAAACTGAAGAAGACAACAGCAGTGTCTACAGTAAAGGTACAGATCCATGAGCACCTTACAGGGAGGCTGGGCTCAAACAGCCTTAATTGTCAAACAAACTTGGGAGTAGAGCTGAAAAGCAGAAATCAGTCCTCATAGTGCGGTATGCATGTGATTGTGCCAAAGAAAAGGGCAGGTTCTTGCTTCTTTCCACAGAACGTGCCAACTGCCTCACTTGCAACTGTCCACAGCACAGAGCTGCTCTGGCAGTCCCCCAGCCGCTGGCTTAAGCTTGCCCCCTTCACGCCAGTCAGCAGTCAGAGTTCAGAGGTCACTTTTACTCCATTACCATGCCACCCCACAGGCTGGCCACCCAGTCCACCGAGAACAGCCGTGAGTCAACAAAAGGCTAAGTCCAGTTTACTACAGGCGAGCTGAACTTAAAGAAATGTGCATTCCTGAGCTGGTGACAGGACATTGTTCAACAGCACATCAAAGGCAGCCCCCCGGAATTACCTACAATTCCTGTAACACAGGAAAACGTTGGTTTCTGCAGTTTTTGGTTCAGTTACACCAAAAGGCCCACATTCTTTAGGAATGGAGCATTTAACTGTCACATTGCCAGGCTTTGAAATCTTCCTGGGGCTTTTAGTAAAAAAAAATTAATTACACTATAAATATCTATATAAAACTTACATCTGCAAAAATACAACATTCAATCATACTGGACATTCATAACATGTAAAATGAACCTTGTGTACTTTAACTTTAGGAAATAAACTCTTTCGGAGCCAGAAAAGTGTAAAAACATTAACAAGAAGTCAGAAACAATGTGATAGTAAATACAAAAGAAATGCATATTATTGTTAAAAAGCTCCGATATAGACATTAGAGTAATGTTCTTGTTCTTTGATTGCCAAATCTGGAAAAACCTTTTTTGACTGGACCTGCACCTTCTGGGCTAGTAGTGATTAGTGGCAACTAAGCCTTCTTTATGTCCGTAGTTGGGCTGGTTCCCAAAGGAGACTCTGGATGTACAACAGTAAGGTGCACAGACACTCACATTCTTCTAGTCTAGAGGGCAGTCTGGGCCCTTAGCACACTAACAGGCTCCTATTCAAAAAGACTCAGTGAAGGCAGGTGATAGGTTGATGTCACGCATGGCCATAAGGGTAATAACAGCTTCTAACAGTAAGCAGTGCATTTTAAAGAGTTTTGTGTTTTTGGTTTCAAAGAGAAAACTTTCCCTGGTAATTTTTTTATCAAAATGTACATAACTCTACCCCTACATGTGAGCTGTTGAACACAAACACAACGCAATAACAGTAACACCATATTGTAAAAATTCTTCAGATGAGTCATGAAACCGAGGACCTGACTCTCTGTGGTCATTAAAAATCTAGGACTAGGGTTGTTACCCCAGTGTCCTGGCCAAATTCCCCCCTGGCCTTTACCAATCATGGCCTCCTTATAATCCCCATATCTGAACTGGCTTCATCACTCGCTCTCCTCCCCACTGAGAGCTGGTGTGGTGTGTGGGGAGCGGACTGGTGCATCACCCAGGTGGGGCTGCACACTGGTGGTGGTGGAGGGGAGATCACATAACCTGTAAAGCATTTTGAGTGTATACAAGTGCTATATGTTATAATAATAAAAAAATCAAAACTCTACGCAAAAAGAAGAGAGTTATTATTATAAGAGATTAGCAAACATGTTTTTCTGAAGGCCAGCAACTGGCAGGATAATTTAACTTAAACCCAGTTTCCACCTGGCAGCGTACCTGCGTCTGGGTGAAGATCTGTGCTTTCTGACACTCCTCCAGACTGGGAGCAAAGGCTGCCATCACATGCTCCTCTGTCCCGATCATCTGGACGATCTCCTGGTCGCTCTCCACCCCCATGGCCTGTGATGGATGGGAGAAATATGTGTTTGCTCAGTGACATTTGCTTATGCTAATAGGGTATTGTCTGAGCGGGTCTCCGCTGGCGCCGAGGCTGGGGCTGTGCTCCTGTCTGTGCCATCTGGTCGTGGCAGAGCAGCCCTCCTAGAGAACGGCTTGGAAACTAATTCCAGATACACAAGTGCAACACAAACAAACTTAGGGAAACTTTCCCTCCCCCTTATTCACCCATACTCCAGCCACACGGCATAAGCGTATTCCCTATGTGACACATTTGAAGGTATGGTGCCGGGATGCAGAGGAAGGCTAATGTAACAAGGACCTGGCTGACTACTGAGTGACTGTGCTAGTTTACTAAATTCTAAGGTTCTGGGGATTGAATTAATAGGGTCACTACTGAAAGCCAAGTTATGCCCAACTGTTCCCTTTATGGCAAAAAAGCAAAACAACAAGAAACTGCATCAAAAAGGAATTCTTATATCTCACCGCTTGATTAAAATTAAAATGAATTAGTGTTAAAACTACTGCACATTTGCCTGATTAATAATTTGTAAATATAACTACAGTAACAAACACTGTGGCAGAAAATATCTTTAACACATTCACTCCATTTCAAATCCAGCTTTACTGGAAAATAAGGACTTGTGTTCTATTTAGTCTGGTACAATTCACCCCACATTTCACATAACTGCATGACATCATGGCATCTAAAAACCAAAATGATTTTCAAAACAATCCCTACTGGACTCAGTATTTTACAATACAAATTCTCAACGCAATTATACTGGAACAGAAAAGTATTTGAAGAAAGGTACCTGACTTAATCTTCCACACAGAGTACAATTAAGAACTTCTTTATAAACACATGTTCAAAATGACCTTATTTTTTCTAATTTTTCTGTGATGAGCTGTGGGAAAAGTGCAGGGTTGGCATTACCTTCATTCTGTCCTTAGCATTGAATTTACTGTAAAGGAACAGGTAAAGGAGAAGAAAGGAAACAACATTTCGGTTGTGGAGCCTTCGCCAGGTGTGAGGCTTTTGTATCATGTACATTTACTGTCTGTGGAAATAACACAAATTTGAACGAGACTAAAAAGTTTAGCAGGCTTGAAAATCGATATTCTAGCTAACACCACGTTTAAATCATTTGAACAGAGCTATACTCAAATACGGTTAGCTGGGATTTCACTCTACCTTTCCTTCTTAATGAACTGTAGTGCTTGCTCTCAAGTCTTAAATGTCTTGCCTTTTCAGCAGAGATCAATTCCAGCAAGGAAAAAAATTGTTTGATCAACATGGTACAAGCATTTGAATGCAGAAAGTGTCTATTCATCAGAAGTCCTGGCTGATATCATAAGTACCAGGTGAACTAATTTTGGTCGCTTCTTGTACTATCTGCACCAAATCCTGATGATTTCTTTTTCCAAAATATAGCTGGCTTTTCTAAATCGGAAACTGATTTCTCAAGTTAACTCAGTGCAGTTGGCAGGTTATTCACATCACAGTACTGTCGCTTGTGGGAAGTATGAAAATCAGGAAGTCCCTTTACTCAAAGTACAACTCTTCCATTTATACCAGCCAGGTTGGAAAGATCTTGCAGTTTGCCCAGTAAGTCAGGTGTAGCTGCCCCTTTATTGAGTTTCTAATTTAATTTGAAAAGCCATTTGCAAAAACTGAGTGCTTTGATCTCCATTTTCAGATTCGCCAATAACAATGGTGGTTTGAGTGCAATAGATTCGGTACTTATCCATAATGAGAGACTACAAAGCCTCATCCTCATAAGCAGAGATGGATTGTGGCATCCTGGACCACGTTTGGGCAAAAATGTGCCTATGCTTGAGCAGTCAAGAGTGGTCTGTGCTTCCTGTTCTCGGTTTTAAAAGCACCTCCACACAGTTTCCACAAGCCTTAACGTTCTAGGCATCACTATCATTCACTTGGCCAAGCCAGAGCCTTGTGGCGAAACACTGGGGTTTGCACTGAGCTCAGGGAGAGCAGCGCGTTTGTCACCACCGTGGCACGACACGACACAAATGACACGTTCACGTCAGCCAGAGGCTTTCTTCGCACTTTGCTGCCCATCTCCTGTTGAGCTCTGGCTTCCGACGCCAAGTCAAACAAGTGCTAGATCGGTTTAGAGGGAAAAACTGCAGGGGCAAAATGGCAGCCAGCCGCAAAGCCCACTGGGAGCCTCCAGATGGCGTCAAGGATTTCTCCTGGATGCTGCCACCCAGATGACCCCATTCCTAATAAAGAAGAAAACCTAAATTAAGCTTTGTGGGATTTTAGAGGGATTTCTTAGAGGGTTCACTCAACAAGAGTCCGCTCTGAGATACCAATAAAACTAAACTGTGATATTATATTGTTGTATAACTGCACTTGTATTGCCTTAATTACACTGATATTAACCAGTCTAAAAATTAAGATGAAGAAGCCTTCTTCCCACCTGAAGAAGGCTCCACGGCCGAAACGTTGTGTTCTCTTTCTTCTTTTTTTCATCATGGAATAAACCTATTACTTGTTCCTTTGCAGCCTACGCATGCTGACGCAGCTACCCACCTAAAAATTAAGATTATTATTTATTGTATTGTTGAGCCTACAATAGTTATGCTATATGTGTAAACATAAATATCTGTCCTAAAAATGCTGCTCATGGGAGAAAGGTCTTCATGGCAGTCATGAAAGGCAGCCATGATTCAATTTAATAATAACCAACAAAGGAGGGAGAAAATAAAAAATGTGCTAATAACAATCAATACCACACTACCCAATGATGATTATTATAACCAAATGATCAGTTACAAATACAAATATCAGGAAATATGAAAATCACATCACACAAAAACAAACGTCAGTACACTTCTCCAAACGTGGAGAACGTTAAGGCCCCAGACTTAATGAGAACAATCAATGAACAAATCCGGGGACTGAGGTTTATCTATGAGAGTTAAGACATCTCTCTGAGAAAGCAATATAGTAACAATCGTCTGGATAATTTTTTTAACTTGGTACTGTATTATTTTGTCTCAAAATTCAAATGTATAATCTAAAGTTGCCCTTGAGCTAGCAGTCCATATAAAGAATAAAGCTACCTTACACATAACGCTATTCTCTATTGCAATAAAACAATTAAGAAGTTTTATAACAAAAAATACTTGCCTTATACAAAGCAAATGCTTTTACTCACAGAATTCACCTTTAAGTTATTCCTGGTAAAATACAAGAGTTTGCTGCCCTCTTTAGGTACACTGCCATAAGAACAGTTTTAAATTTCAGAAGCCAGGCAATTTGATCCATATTCAACACTCGCCTGCGCAGTTCAACCTGGCACTGAACTTCAGTCATCTTTCGATGAAGAACATTTTTCAACACATAAAAATATATACATTAATATGACTGTATATTTTACTTTGTTTTGTCATCTACCGCCGAAAGCTGTACTGTTGTGCATTTGATAAATAAACTTTGATTTGATCATCAGGCATCTCACGTACTAATGACGTAATTTCTTTGATTTTTTTTTAATTGTGAAGATAAACTGCAAACTTGTTTTACTCATCTTATGCATGTATGTTTCTTATTTGTAAACAGGTCCATGTTATGTTAAATGTATTATGCATTGTATTTGTTTTTTTTACCCACACAACATGAATGTAACACCTTTCAATTCTTCCCAAAACAGGAGCAATTAAAGGGATGCCCACTGTGTTTCTAGCCCCTGCAAAAAGGTGCACATGACAAGCTAGAAGTGTCCTTAGACTACAAAGGCAAACCCCCCCCCCCCCAATGTCTGTGTGTCTCATGGAGAGCAAGCTGGGTTATGCGGAAAGACAAATTCCTAATGCAAGAAATTGTATAGGGCTAATAAAGTGATATTAAACTATGAACTGTAATACAGAGCACCAACTCTATCTTATAAGGGAGGTAAGGACCGTATAAAGCACATTTCTGAGGAGTACAAAGCACGGTACTTAAGAGTTTATTTTTTATAGTCATGCTGCAATCTGACTAAAGGCAGCACTTGTTCTTGCCCACTGTACATGCAGAACACTGAAATCTGAAGACTAGTGAAACGTAGCTCAGACGAGCATTTCAAACACTATGTGTCTCTGTTACGAGAACCAGCATTGCTTTGCCCCCCCAACAGGCTCCTGCAATGACCTCTTCCTACCTTGAAGATAATCGCAATCGGAGCATCCTCGGACAAAGTGTTGTGTCGCAGGTAGAACCTTCCCTGCCTCACGGCCATATTGGTTCTACTTTTCTTCTCATGGGTGGAGCTGAGAAAAACAGAACGCAGAGGGGCGGGACACATGAAGGCAGGGAAATCCCTTGTGGGTCATGCACCGGGGTAATTCTAAGGTGCGTTTAAAACTTCAGTTGGTTACAAACTGGTTTCAACGTCTTGTCATTGACCTCACAGGCAGGATTAAATCTAGCTGTTACTGTCTAGAACAGGGGGTTCTTAAAACTATGGGTCACAACCCAAAAATGGGCCGTCATGCCAAGAAACATCAAAAACCCCTAGTTTAGAGGAACACATCTTCACAGATAAGGAGAGACAGCCACAATACATGATTCTCAATGCAGTCTGAACCATTTAATAAAGAACTTAGCCTTTTTAGCCATCAAGAGAAGAGTACGAGGAGACCTGATACAAGTGGACATTTAAAACCGAGAGAGGAGTGTCTTTACCCAAAGGGTTGTGGGAGTCTGGAACAAACTACCCAGCCATGTTGTTGAAGCTGGTAATTTGGCTTAAATCAAGAAATGACTGGATGTGGTTCAAACGGGCTAGACAGACTGAATCCCCCCCCCTCTCGTTTTTAACATCTCTTCTCTTCTTGATTCTAAGATAGAACAACATGCATGTAACACCTTTCAATTCTTCCCAAAACAGGATGCCCACTGTGTTTCTAGCCCCTGCAAAAAGGTGCACATGACAAGCTAGCAAGTGTCCTTCGTCTAATGAAAGTGTGGGGTTGTAGAGGAACCTGACATCAGGTCATGAATCGCACTGGAATGACAGCCACTTCACCCTCCACCAAGCATTCCCAGTCTACAGTACAATACCTGGTCACAGATGCCCCCACTGCTCCTTTTCTGTCGGCCTCCACAATAATTCGGTTTTTAGACAGCTGTTCCTGAATGAGAATGACCTTCTCTTGACCCTTCACGATGAAGTAGCCTCCTGCAAAACAGCCAGTCCTGAGAAACATTCATCAGGATAAACATCTCATTCACCTGCACACTATTAAAGCCCTGAGCTTTCAAGATCACAAAGATGTTTTTTTCACCTTATGGTGGGTGGCACAGAAGCACAGTAGTGAGCATTGCTGCCTTGCAGCACTGGGGCCTGGGTTCAATACCCAGATTGACATCTACATGGAGTTTGAATGTCCTGACCATGTTCCTGTGGGCTTCCTCTCCCAGTCCAAAAACACTGGTAGGTTTACTTGGTTCTGTAAAAATTGGCCGTGTGTGTGTGCCTGGCAATGGACTGGCTTCCTGTCCAGGGTGTAACCTGCCATGCACCCGTTGCTTGCTGGGGTATACTCCAGCGGTTTCCCCATGCAACCCCGTGCTGGATAAAGTGCTTCGAAAACGGATGGATACATTTTTATGGTGAATGTTTGTTTTCTGTGGATTAGTGAGGATTTGGATTCATACACAGAACAGACAAAACTGTCCTGTAATCACTGCGCTGAGAGTGAAGATGAGACCACAACCTACCACCACTGAATGTTGACTCCCTATAGCTGGCAACCATTTACAACCTGACAAGCTTCTCAGAAGCGCAGAGGGTGACTACCTGGGTCAAGAGGGCACTCATTCAGCTTCGAGAACTCTGCAGGCGTCTTCCCTGTCAGAACGCAGTTGGAGCTGCGCAGCATGATCGGCATCCTTTGGAGAAAAAGTTAGAAACTCATTGCATGCGAATGTGCCGATTTGATTTGAGAACTACAGGCACAAAAACAAACTTTGGTGTTTCATTCTATCCACTCGTCTTCTCAATGCTAGGCAGCAGCTGAACTGCAATGTGACGGTTTTTGACATTCTGCAAACAGATCTGGATTGGGCTGGCCGTCACCCCAAAGTGTATAAAGGGGGGTTACCTCCCAATGGGCAGGGCATTGCGGATGATCCTCTGACTCCCCCGGGTGTACTCGATGTCCACAGTAATAGGAGCAGAGTATGTCATGTCTCTCAGGCGGCACTGACAAGGAAAAATGCGAAAGCACATTAGCCAAGACCTGCCAGTATCGCCACATGATTACTGTAAAAAGTATGTTACGCTGAAATAAGGTCTAGATCACTAATTCAAAGGCTACATCTCATGCTTGGCTGAATATTAATCAAGAAAAAAAAAGAAGGTGGCAATTTAAATCATCCAAGAAAGAAGTTTAATGAAGATCACGGCTTACCTCATGAGGAGACACAGGTCTGGTCACATTGAAGCTTTCCTCGACATCAGGCATTCCAACATAAATATTGAGGTATCTGGAACAGAACATGCGCTCTTGTCATCTAAATCTCTGACACAGCAAACATCAAACATCATGTTAAATTCCTGGACACTAAATAGCAAGACAGATACCCACTAAGGAAAATAAAACAGGTTTTCTAATGAACCCCATGTGATTTTTGTTTACCCAGACACAAGAAAATTACTTTTTCCATCAAGCTGACCAGTAAAACAAATTGCGAGACCAGACTGAGGGCTGAAATCAGACTGTGCTGTAACCAAGGACAGAACAAGCCCAGTGTTGAAATCAGATAGCCAGATAGACTGGAAGTCATGAGCAGAAAGGTGAAGGATGAAATCCTGAACATCTTAGATATTTCCATGGACATCGAGACAGAATGTCTCCTAATGTCAGAATGTCTTCCTAAATATATAGCATTTTGGCCTAAGACGTAGTTTATCTTATAAAAATGCAGAACAGTTGATCTGTATTACAGTTCATAGTTTAAGATCACTTTACTGGCCATATACAATTTCTTGTATTAGGAATTTGTCTTTTTGCATACCCCAGCTTGCTCTCCAAGAGACACAAAAGCACACAGACAGGAAGAGAGAAGGTGGGGGTCAGAGCGCAGGGTCAGCCATTTATACGGCACCCCTGGAACAGTTGAGGTTAAGGGCCTTGCTCAGGGGCCCAATGCAGTAGGATTCCTCTGCTGGCCGCGGGATACGAACCGGCAACCTTCCAGTCACAGGCGCAGATCCTGAGCCACAGAGCCACCGCTCCGCCTCTTATAATTGAACAAACTATGGTAAAGTAGCTTCACTTGTGTTAAAGACTGTTCAGTTCCCAACTGACCAACTGAACGAGGACTCACAACACATTGGGTGACATTAACACATGCTCAGTATCTATTCTCCACTGATATTTGTTTGCCCAGCAGAGTGTAAATACACATACTCACTTCAAATACCACATGGGATCAGCATCACTTGTAATCTTTTCATTGGCTTTCATGATTTTCTTTATCTGGAAACAGCAATCGCCAAGTTAATCTCAAACACAAGTGCCACAAAACAAAAACAAAAACAAAAAACAGGGCATAAGAGCATGTATGCATGCAATGTCTTACCTCTACATTAATAAAATAATTGAATGAGTCAATATGCTGTTTCACCAGTCCTTTCACCTAAAAAAAGAAGAGAAAGAAAATTAAGATACACAGGGGAGGATATTTAGAATTCTTAGTCGACAATGGAACAACAGAACTGGAAAATAAGGCACAACAGGCACATTTCAAAAGGATCACATACTGTCACCCTGGTGCTGATGCCTTCTGAAAGTCAACATACGAGTTAGCAGCCTTTGCTGTATAACATCATGTGAACTGGCAACAAGACTTCATACACTAGGAAAGCAGTGGAGTTTAGTATATATGAGGGTGACTGAAGGAAATGTATACCCTTACTCTTACACACCATACTAATAAGAAGGTCTTGGATACCAGAAGCCCTGACCTCCCACCTCCATTTCTCAAACAGACCACTTAGCCAGCTTCAAACGAGCAGCTCTTTAACATTCTGTCTCAACAACAGTGCACCTCAGCTCTTGCAGCTGGGGTTAATGTCCAGAATGTCAGATTCCAAAAATGTGTCCAAATGGGTCCAAAAAAAAGAGTCAGAATTGTTGCTATTAAAAAGTTAATAGCAATAAATATTATATTGGCCTGGTTGGTAGATTTGGTGTCCCGCGGTACAACTACACCTGTTTAATTTTTTCATCAGTAACACAAGTTGCCAATAGAGAATTCACAATACCTTTAGAAAGGCCGGTAGTAACTTCCATTTCTCCTAAAAGGGAAAGTACAAAATATTAAAGCTGTCCCACTAGATCACAGCATTAGAAAGTAAAATGACAGCACACAATGACCTACTGCGTCTTGCATATTGTATATAGCAGATTTGCCCCTTTTATAAAGAGATTATCAGAAGACAGAGAAAGACAAAATTCGACATGTAATCTTTTGAGAACAGTAACAGTATAATTTAATCATACACTGCAGTGTAAAGCGTCTGAACGTTGACTACAAACAAGATTGTACCTGAACTGCCTATACTGTACAATGTAACAGAAGGAGTTAAACAAGTTCCAATGCACAGCATTACAACCGAATGAACGTTTTTTTCCAAACAACACTATATTCTTGATCAGCTTAGTTCACACGATCAAATTCTGAATGGCTTGCATTTTCATACAAATCACCCACTTAATACATTTTAAAAACCTCTAGCCCTTACAAAGGAGGCACCAGATTATTAAAAAACAATCTATAATCAAAACATTTTCCCTGACGTTTGCTTCCTTGTTACGCTAACACAGTTTTCTTTACAGACGAATACATGGTTTAAGCAAATTGTATGCACATTGCAACACAGTAATTACTAATATGCATCACTTATATTTCAACTGCTGCGATACTTATTCCCTACCTCTATGGTATTAACGGGGGCTGCGAGTTCTTGGGGAGTCATGCCCCCATACTCATCAATGAGGGCATCCATAATTTTCTCACACTCAAAACAAACACCCAGACTTCATGAAACAAGAATCACATTTCCAATCCGGCGACATCGGCAAGCGGAAGAACAAACCCACACGTGCATGCGATGTCCCAAATAAATGGCAACGTGTGGAAACAAAGAGGTGGACCATGGTTCTGCTCCCACATTCCGTTCTGATATGTTCCGAAAATAAACGAAAATTAATTTAACCTCTGCACCCTTCACTTTTCCTACAGAATTCAGAAATTGAAATTTAAACACTTATCACTTTATAAGCCGCGTTATTTTTCTTGTATATTCGAAAACAATTCGAGAAGTCAGAAAGAAGTATGAGTGTTGTACAATTTCCAAACCACTCCCTCGTTTGTAACCTTTAATCGTGCCCCATACGTTTTGATTATTTGTCAATACAATAAATAGCATTTTAAATTTACTTCACAACATTTAATTTAAAAAAAACTCATGTGTACAAAGCAATCTCATGTTTGAGCTCGATCACCGTGGGTCTTAACTGGCAATTCGAGTGGATGAAATGGACTTGGGTGGCGTGGTGGTGCAGTAGTTAGTATTGCTGCAGTGTGAAAGCCCGGGTTTCGACTGTGGACCTGGGCTACTGTATCTGTGCAGATGTTGTATGTTGCCCCATGTTTGTGTGGGTTTCCCCCCACAGTCCAAAGACTACTGGTACAGTAGGTTAATTGGCTTCTGTAAAAAAAAAACTGGGCCTGGTGAGGCTCCAGCTCTCCTGTGACCCTGTGCTGGATAAAGTGGTTTAGAAAACAGATGGATGGAAATCTACTTTTTCAGGTTACAAAGAATAAAACTTCACCAAATACATTTTTAAATCACGTTTTTCACATTTCTTAAACAAGCCATACAGTGACAAAATCAATATGTCATTTTTATTTTTCAGTGCATTGTTTCTCTCTCTCTCTCTCTCAGGATGAACCAAAACCTTAAAGAACTGGCCACTAGGCTTAAGAACAGCTTCTACTTGTAGAAAGATATAAGATGTGAAAAAAGGGTTAACTGATTTCCTTCTGCACAGACTTCTTTTGGTACAAGACCAAAGGAAAGACAAGAATGGCCATTCAAAGTGCTCAAGGTCCAAACACAGGTGACCTCCCCCCATTACCATGGTAACAATTTGTGTCAGAAATGGCTGAAGTTTGTTATATCAACTGGAGCTTTACAACAATTCTCTGAACAATTCTTTGATCGTATTGTCCCTTGCATGCAATAAACACAGTTGTTTAAACTTCATCTTGGGTCCAGAACTTATTTGTCTATTACAACATACCCTACGGCAGTCCACATCATTAACAGCTAACTGTGCAATGTCTCAGAATTCAACACACCTCTGCACTCTGCACAGTTTACTTGGCTACCCCATATTGATAGTCCTGTGGGTTTATTGTTCTGTACTGCCCATTGTACGATATTTTGCTATGTTGAACCATCATTATTTACTGTTTTGTAATGTACTGTGCACATTGAGTGAAAGTGTTGTCTGTTCTATTGTATAACATCTCAAGAGAACAGCGAAAATACGATAACCATTGTACGGCAAATACCTCTCCTCAGACAAAACTAACAGCCAGAGACAGATTTGTATGTTTATATAAAAAAAACTAGCACCGTAACTTTAATCTCCTTGAGTTAATGTTGTGGAAAATTCCAACATTTCTGGGCCATTCAGAATTTGATCATATATGAAAGAATACAACAGTAGGAGATGGGAAGACACTACCATAGTCATGCACGAGAGACGTGCATTGGGCCCAACTAGCTTGTTCGGGAGTTAGCAGCCCATCGATCCGAGAATCTCTTCCAGCCTTCTTGAAAGAAGCCAGGATATCAGCTTCAAGTTCCTGTCGAGTCCAGGCTCAAAGGTTTAGCTTGTGCCATGAATGACCAGGATATGAGTTATAACACTGAGCTTGGTCAGCCAACGGAACAGTTTCCTAGGCTTCTCTTAGCCAGAGGAAGACAAGCGCACACACCTGCAAACAGAAACCCTGGCCCTGGAGAGGAGCAGAGGAGCTGACTCAACAAGAGCTGTAAGGAAATGTCAGTCAGGGTCTGGGTTAAGTACGTATGATTGGTGCAGTACGCGCAGTTCCCTGACACAATCTTTAACACAATAATGAATAACAGCAATATCTTTACTCCAAAAGATTTATTTGTTTACAGTATATCAAATAAAAATAGAAGGCACTTCTTGTAACAGTCAGCAATTAAAAGAAAACAAAGGCACTTTTTTGTCAGTAATGGACACTTATTTAAACTGCAAGGCCTTCATGTCCCTGATATACAAAAATCAACACAAAACATCACAAAGTGGTTCCCCTCTCACCCGTACTGGTGTAAATTTTGCATTTCCCCTCAATCCGAGACACAAGAACTGCTCACAACATACACATTCATCTTGCACAGTGGTGGAGATAGACCTGCTTTGGAAAACAATTCTCAATTCAGATGGACTCTTTGCCAGTTACAATACAGAGAGGAATAATATGTTGAGAATAAGAAAATTACATATATTGACATTTGAAGGCATTTGTTGAGAGAAATCATAGGAGCTCTGAACTCAAACTATTTATCACTACTGTTTCCAATGACCGAAAATAACTAGAATACAAATGCAATAATGCAATACTTGGAAAAACTGCAGGACGAATCTGACAGGGCAATAGCTCAGCCTGTGCAATGCACAGCTGGGCCACTAGAGGGGCCTGTTGTTGCTGCTCAGCATCTTTGGGTAGGAGGTTCCAATGGACCTCCCATGACGATACACCACGATCTCCAGCAGGTACTCGTCGACTTTCACGATGGTGCTCGTAACTTTCTCCTGGGACATGAGGAAGACCAAGGTGAAAAGAGCGAGCTCGAACTCCGGGCTGACGCCGATGAAACTGCTGCCCACCGGCTTCACAAGGCCCTTCCAGCTGAACTGCAGATTTAAAACGTGATCATCTTCATCCGGCTAGAGAGAAAAGAGAGACCACAGTAGATAATAAATACAAACAAGAACAGTGCTGCCACCTTAACGATACACTGGAAAGGCATTACATTTCCTAATATCCTAATTTCAGCCAACAGACTCAGAATTCGTTTGGATTCAGAGCAAAAAAAAAACACTACGAAGCCTGCAGTTCTATTTCTGAATCTTTTGAATGAAAGGTCTTGGCCAATCCTGCGTCCCCCGGCTGTTCAGAACTACAGAACTAGCAATTTACTTTTCAGCCAGGGTTTAGACAGAGAACTGGCACATTTCATCATTTTTTTGCAGCACCAGAACGCACCGACAAGGAAAATCTTCAGCAGCTTGTAGAAATATAGACTTGAACAGATGCAGCAGATGGAAATCAACGAGTCAAATAAAGCAAAAGATTAAACAGAGATGTGTATATATAAAAAAAAAAAAAAGAGGAAAAAAAAAAACACGACAATAAAGCAGCAGCCAAAAAACTGAACTGGAGAGGAAACCCATGCACACACTGGGAGAACATACAAACTCCACACAGACAGCATCCCAAGAATTGAACCCAGGGCCCCAGTGCTGCAAGGCAGCAATGCTGACCACTGTGCCACTGTGATGTCCATGCCTTTCATTTCAGTCGGTTATATAGTCCAGTTCAGTTTATTCGTCATTTGCATAAGTGCAATTAAATGATTATAGAACCTAGACTCTGATATCATCAGCAAACAGTTATACTTGTAGATGACATAACTTGGAAAACGCTGTAGGTGCAGTAGAGGGAATAGATGAAGACTTGGATGCTGTTCAGGACTGGACAGACATTAGCAAACGGAAGTTAAGGTGGATGTTGCAAACTACAAAATTCCTTAAGGTAGGGGCACACAGAAACGTGTCGATGTTGACTCGACTTCCAAAATCTAGACGCTGTGAGGCAGCTTGTTTTTGTCAGCACTAACACCACGCTGGAATATTTACTGAAAAGAGAAGAGCAGAACTGAAATCAGGGTGATAAGGTGATAATGAAAGATCAGAAAAGAATGATTAGAGTATTTCCTGGTTTGAAATGCGCATACAGAGAAAAGAGAAAGCGCTATATCTCCGGAGCAAAAAAGCACAAATACTACGTTCAACTACACGAACAAATGTTTGTGCCTTTTGGAGGGGTCAAATTCACGGAGCTCTGACAGATGCTCTCCTAGTGCGTCGCTTGAAACAATCGCTCTACGGAAGCTCATGCTCCTCTTTAAGGTGGGTGATTCTGGAAGTGCTCTCTCACCGTGTCTTTGTTGTCTCTGGCCTTATAGCCTTTATAATCCACGTTGTTGAGCTTCTCTTGCAGGTAGAACTGGACCCAGTTGTGCAAACCCATGATTTCCTTGCCATACTTCGTCTCCCCCACAAACACGTGCTCAAACCCACAAGAATCCTCCCTGCAAAACAAGAGTTCAAGAGCAGACTGAAACAAAACCTCCCGCAGCACGATCAGAAACCAAATCTGGTCTCAATCCTAGGCCGTCTAAAGAAAAGTGGTTATCAAAAATCAGGGCTTGAGATATAAAATAATATGATCCCAATTGTTTTTAAAAACGAGACCTAAACAGATTTTTTTTGGTTCACATTTAGCGTTGGTTTCTGGTAGGGCGATACGTACCCGCCACTTCTGTCCCTGTGGTACAGCCGAAACCAGATGTCATACAGCTGCTTCTTAAACTGCTCCACATTGGGGCTGGCCTGTTTTTTAGTAACGAGGTACTGGTGAGCACGCTGTGGGACAAGGGCACAGAGCACAGGACAGAAACCATTATAGGACTGCACACGATTTTCACTCGGCTCCATTTTCTCTCCACTAGCTTGGAACGTACAGTATATGAGACGCTTAACTCTTTAAAATGACCGTTCATTTCTCACAAGTTATTCTCTTTTTTCAGAATCCTAACTGATGTTTATGGAAACCCTACACTCATACGAGCACAGAACTTCAGTTAACAGCCCATCAGCAATAACAGGCCACTCTCAGACTAAGGAACTCTTGACATTCTTACAGCAGGTTTTAATTAAGATTTGCATTTTACATTAAAAGCTGTGCGTTTTCTGTAACTACAGGATGCACGAGTCTTTCTTCCATCTGTCGCGGATTAAACAAAGCCAGACTTGAATTTATTTTCAAGCTGTGATCTTACATTTTTTTTCATGTAGAAGACCTGATTTCATGTAGGACACCTGAAGAAGACTCCACTCTACCCGTGTCCCTTTTCTCTTCAGCACGGAACAAACCTTTACTTGTTCCAGTTTTTTCCATGGTCATTTCCTTTGTAAAATATACATACAGCATATATGTAAAGTAAATATTTGATGTGTGTATAGTAGTGGGTGGGGCTCTGGACCTGTTATACAGGTACTATAATAGTTAAAAAACTGAAACATTGTGGATTCAAATCCTGTTGTACCTCTGAGCAGGGTAGTTTACACAGGTAACTCACATAAAGTATTTTTAAGTATTTAAAAAGATATAAATATATGTGCAAGACAGATGAATTCATAGTAAAGGAAAGAAAGATCAAGCACAATACAGCAATTTCACACCACAGCATAGGATTTGTGGCCATAATCAACATAAATCATTGTACTATTCTATATCGCCAGAGCATACCTTCATGACTTTAGTGTTTAAGACTGCATCTAAAAAGAGGTTGTTTTCTTCCACCTCTTCAGTGGTGACAGTTTCGGAAACTCCAGTTGACATCTCATAGTTATCCAGCAGCTTCATGAAATCTAGAGTCAGAACCAATAATGAGGTGGAGACATGTACCCAGTCCTTAACCTCTCATCCTCCTTCTACACCAGAGGAATGTTACGATTGATGTCCCAGACCTCCAGAAGCCTGAATTGTCCAGTAACAAAGTATGATTCAGTGGCAACTTGTGAGGAGAGACTGAAGCAATTTTAAAGGTGTTTCTACCATTCTCCCCTTTAAATATAAATCTGATCTAAACAGAAGATTTGGAGTAGGGATCAGGTTTTGGGATTCGTAACTGGATGTTTGAGGGTTCAAATCCTAGAAGAGAACCTGTAGCTGCATTGTTGACTCACGTATTTCACTTGGATTGTTCCAGTAAAAAATACCCTGCTATGTAAAGGGGTCCAAATGTAAATCACTTTAGATAAAAACCATTGGCTAATTAGCATAATTAATTCATTGACTCCGCTGTAGCACACTGAATAAAATACTACAGATCAACAGTGAACACAGACATTAACCTGTGAAATTATGAGACAGTTCACTTTCACAGGTTAATGTCTTTGCTCACTGTTTAATTGTGCAGCTAAATGCAAGGTTACATTCCCAGATTGCTATCGGGGTGTGAGATTCAGGGCTGTCTCAGATAACACTGGTGCTGAAACACGGGGATTCACAGCCAAGGAAACAGACAAAGGATGTAACCTTTCAATTAACACGATTTAACACTTCCTGCACTGTTTCAATCTGTACAGTTGGAGGTACTTTGAAGGGGAGAAGGAACAGAAATCCCCCTTAATGAGTTTCAGCCATTCTCACAAGCCCCTGCTGCTCAATGTCCACATTAATTGCCAGAGTTACAATCCTGCACCAGCCTGACCTGTCAACAGCAGAATATCACAGGGTAAGACAACAATTGCTTCAAAATGCTTATCAACAGATGCATTTCAATACAAGTAAAAATGAAAATGAAGGCTACAGTTAGTGGTTGTTATGCAACAAAGATTAGCATGCCAAACAATGGCTATGAGACACATGCTCATTAGGAATCCCTCCAACCATAAAAATATTTTAACTTTGAGAAAAGAGGGAGTTTTTATTTTCCAAAACGTCAGTGAAAAATCTCCCCCCCCCCCCAACCACCTAAAAAATTGCATTTTCTTTCAAACTCATTGGAGAAATAATCATCAGTTAATCAGGTGAACTAAACAAACATTTCAGAACAGTGTTAGATACATTATTTTAAATATGAAAATCACTTTCCTAAAAAAAAACCCAATGTGATACATGTCAGATACAAATCCTAAAGCAACAATAATGAATCTGAGAGTTTACTATCCCAATGTACACAGCAGACATGCACAGCTACAGTCTATAGACACAAAGACATTAAAACATTTGAACAATTGAAAGTAATACCATGTTTTACACCGTCAATATCTCGGTTTTGTAAACAGGATACCCAGTCTTTTTCTCATAGCAAACAAGATGTATCTTTCCCAGAACGGTGCAACACGATGAACTTTCCAGCGTAGAGGAAACTGTAGTATACCACTGTTGTTTTTACTTTTCTCAGGTTTAAACACACGCCAAACACGGGTTTAAACACAGGAGCACAAAGATGACTCACACGCGTACGTCTTGATGGTCCTCAGCCGCTCCTCGTTCACGTGAGAGAAGAGTGGCGCACTGGCCCTGTCTCTGGCGGAGTTACTGCCTGGAGCAACATAGCCTGCCTTCCCCTGAAAGACACACAGAAGGGATCTCAAGTGACAAGAAACAGTCAGCCCACTGCCTGCCACGACTCCCACCCCCATCCACCAAGTTTTACACAAAGCTTGCGTAAAGAGACGCTACACTTTTCCTACTGTCCAGTGCCAAACAAACACGAGTAGAAAGCTCAGCCACTAAGACATCTACAGCACCATATGCACACACTACTGAAACAAGCAAGTACTGTATGAACACTTTCAAAAGAGTGGTACAGTAGATATCCCTGCAAAACAACTCTGCAGCATTTCACTGGGGTAAATTATAATTTGTTTAGGAGGTAGTCACTGGATTTTTATCCATCGCCTGCTCCTTGGAATTGTCAACAACGAATTCCAACTTTACTCGTCCCTCAATATCGCTGTAAGTGCTCCACTAACTCCAAGTGTTATGACGCTGGCTCCGCAACCACAGGGGATAAGGACTGCACATCGGCCTGACCAACTAAACCAGTTCTCGTATTTTGGTATTTAAATCAAGATTAGTCATGGATTATTCTAGGCAAGCGCAAAGCGGCTCAGTCCGCCGTCTGCCGGACAGGAAAGGTTTCGGGCAGTGAGCCACACCTGCAGGGAGATGGTGTAGTCTTTCCCGGGCTTCAGGCGGTTCTCATCCAAAGCCCACAGCTCGTTCAGGAGGCTGGACAGTTCTTGGTTGATCCCTTGCCTGGGGGAATGAGAGGAGCACAGTACAACGCTTTTGCTGATTATCTTAAAATAAAGATAATGGTCAAATTTACTAGGACACAGTCACATAGCTTAAGAGAGCAGTTTGTTTTTCCATTTCAGTGGGAGGCTGTCCAACAGAAAGCACAAAAACTGGGGAATTGGTTTCATTTCTTAAAACTTTCATATTCAAAGCAAATCGACTATAAATATAGGAAGTGAAATTAGAACATTAAGATTTCAAGGAAGCTGAGGACGTTAACAGTTCGGGCGTTGGCTGATAGTGGGACCCAGGTGATAAAACCATTTTACCAAAAACGAAACTTTAAACATCTAGAGAGCCGCCCACAGGCTTTCAATAATTAATTGCCTGATACTTACAGAGGTTTTAGTACTTAGCACAGTTCATTTGTTAATTTTAAGGTTTTTTTAAATGTAAAAAGCCATTAATTAATTAATTAATTGTTTAAATGCTCGGCAAAAGACAAACCAAAGAGATCTCCCATTTCTAAAGTCGCGACAAAATTAGTTCAGGAAAAAGAAGTGCATTACATAATTGATGGTTTTGAACAGAAGCAAAGTAACTCGGGGCCAGAGAGGGTGGGTCACTCGTTTACTTTCGAGCGAGATCACTTGACAGTGAGATTTGAATAGCGTTAAATTACGCTATAAATTTCATCTCGCTACACCTACTTGCTTTTCAACCTTTAAGGGAAATTTGAATGCGTCTTCCTTTGCTCCACAGGGGAAAAAAAAAGTTACACTTGCCGTTCATAGGAGTTGTAATTGTTTAAAGCAGAAAACAGTTTCACGTAACTGAAGACACTAGTGAACAATACGGTGTGTAATGCAATAGTGTTGGCATATCTAAGCATAACTTAAACACTGCCTTTTGTGGATACCTGCTACAAAGTACTACTTGTAACCATTATAATAACCCAAATGCGCTTGTTCTTCCTCTTCGCTTCACCAGGTCGGCTTTATTCGTGGAGGTCGAGGAAAATTAAAATGAGCACTACGTATAATCACACAGACGAGCACCTTTTGATGTATTTTGGTTGCAGTCCTTTATTCCTCGAAGGTACCCCAAAAACGCCCCCAGGTGAAGGCACCGGGTGCCCGCTAGCTAGCCGAGTTGCGTCACCGCGACACCTTTCTACAGTAATACAGTAATACAGTAATACAGTAATCTGTGCAGCAACTTCAGGATACTGACACGCAGCCGCTTTGCCAACTTCAAAGCGACCTGGGAGAACAATAATAACAACACAAGAAAAGAAAAATCCAACCATCTTATCGGCGCAGATAAGGTGCCTGTTGTGTGTTCTTACCCTTTGGCCATTGCGCCGCTGTCAGACTGCCTCAATTAAAGATGACAGATGTAAACCTTATTGCTCCTAGCCGTGACTCAGAGCGAAGGCAGTTTTAATGGCAGCTCAATGAAGGCTCCTTGGCATACATGCATGGTCCAATAGCGAGAGCGTCCCTCCTACCGTGCCTCCGCGATCGTCTTGGTCCGGAGCGATTGGCTCTCCGGGCCCGGAGGGTTTGGCAGCAGCTCATGGTGACGTTTATTTTTTCTCTGTTGTGGACGCCTGGGAGGAGCAGGCAAAAAAAAAAAAGAATCGTGAGCTGGGGTGGGGCTTGTCTGCAGAAGTTGCAAAGAGTATTTTGCTATAAGTCCAGGATCTGCGTACCTGTGGCATCTGGAGGAAGCCGAGATGTCTTTTATTCTGCGAGTGAGTGTTGGCACTTGTTGACTTTTTCGTCAAATCACCTGCTTTGAGAAATATTGTAGATATGGTGTTACCGAGGAGCTGGCTGACTCATTGCACTGGTGTTGGCACGACGTATGCTCGGAGTTATAGTGTTGTTAGCGCAGCACTAATGGGAAGAAAAAAATAAAGAAGAGCTTTTTAGTTATTTTATTAATTTATAAGGGAATCAGTGACGTCTTGTTATGTTGTTAAACGTTTAAGTCCTGCACTTGTAATGAAGGGACGGTCGCGGTAGATTTGTCCAGGTAAGGTCTCGCTTTGCGCTTGCATTGGTCAACATCTACTGTAATTAGGGTCATATGTCTGTAAAACACATTTCTTGTAGACTATATTATACACCATTATAATGCAAATACTAATTGCTAATGCAATTAAGCAAAGGCGCCCGTGTTTTCCTGCTAGAAGGTTATCGCTGGTAATATGGCCTCACTGAATGTGCAGGAGCTGTTATAGTTTTTGTATGCGTGGTCCGTCATTTTTCGAAGTAGTGTTGTATTCGTTCTGCAGAATTAATTTCATTATAATAGTATGAAGTTTTATACAATGTAGAGCAGATACTAACGTCAGCGCGGATGGTATCTTTTTGCTTTTGTTTCACTTTACATTTTATGACGTGGTACGAGAGGGCACCTTTGTGTGTGTGTGTGTTTTTCCTGTTTGAATTTTGGTGTTATAAGCATTAAAGGCTAGACACTAATTTATAAAGCAAAAACGTCAACCTTCTCGATAATAGGAAGTGATGTGGGGAATGAAATCGACGTTGCACCTGATTTTTTTAAGTGGGTGGAGGCGTGAAACAGTAACTGAGCGAACTTTTAGGAGAATGTTTCTCCAAGAATAGCTACCATTGGGAACAAACACTTGTAACTTTTTTCGCTGTTGTTTTTTTTTTCTTTCAAGGACCTCTGCCCAAGCTGATGAACTTCCTGTGCTGATAGCCTTTCAGGCATGAAATGTTAACTCTTTATATACCAAGATGACGGGGAAATATTCTGCTCCCCATGACAAAGCCCTTCTAAAGTTGTCACTGAGGTTTTTAAACTACAGTATGGATATTTTACAGGCAGGGTTAAACGTTAAGCATTGACA